AAAGCCATAATGATTGGATGTAGCATGTGACAAATCAGGAGAATCAAAATATAGGAGATGATAATGTCTGTGTAGACTGAGTCCAGTACAACTAGATGGTGCCCAGCTACCACGACTGACTGCTCTGACAGGGATGACAGCAGAGGGTCCCAGACAGAGCTAGAGAAAAATGTAGAACAAAATTCTAACTCACAAATAAAGACCAGACTTACTGGCCTGACAGAGACTGGAAAAACCCTGAGAGTATGGCCCCCAGACACCCTTTAGCTCAGTAATGAAATCACACCCTTCAGCCAAAGATTAGACAGCCCCATAAAACAAAGTGAAACTAATGGGGCACAACAGCCCAGGGACAAGGACTAGAAGGCAGGAGGGGACAGGAAAGCTGGTAATAGGGAACCCAAGTTCAAGAAGGGAGAGTGTTGACATGTTGTGGGGTTGTTATCCAATGTCATAAAACAGTATGTGTACTAACTATTTAATGAGAAACTACTTGTTCTGTGTATCTGCATCTAAAGTACAACAAAAAAAATTTTTTTTTAATTCCTCAAAAGAAAATGTGTAAACATAGACAGGATATGATATTGAAAATCCAAAGTTAGAGCTCAGATGCAGTCCCAAAGAGAAGAAAAAAGGTATAATGTTTCTCAGTTTCCATTTGCTTAGTGAATGACCTTTAAGAAACTGTTTCTTTTGTTCTTGGATTGTTTTCAAGTCAGTAATGCTTGAAAGTCTGTATGATCTGAAGATCATGACAAAGAATCAGTATCTTGCACATAGCAGGCTGTGGTGCAGTGATTGCTATTATATGGCCCTTCTAGCAATGGTCTTGTAACTCCCACAAAATGATTGGGTGGGAATATGCAAATAAAGTGTGTAAAACTTCCTGGGGTTGGCTGGGACTATGCAAATAAGGTACCTGTGACCCACCAAAGGGATTGGTCAGTTTTGCCATCCCGCTAGCCTTAAAAAAAGCCAATCCTACATGTTGAAGGGGGACTTCACTAAGAAGAAAAGCCAGGAGCAGAACACCTCCTTCGGACCCAGCATCCCTGTGCAGAGAACCTCCTAGACCCAGGAGATAGTGAGAACTGTAACACTGGAGATGTCATGGGAACCAGGAGACTGGTGCAAGATGGCTGCGGTGAGCATCCCAGCTCACAGCTTGAGGTGTCTGCAATGGTCTCATCAACCCACAAAGCAAGAGAGCTGAGCACCTGCAGGCAGGAGGCTTGCTGGTAGAGTGGGGTGCCTCTGGGCACATGTCAGTGGAGCTAAAGAGCTGCAACATTTGCCCAAGCAGAGCAAAGGCCAGGCCCATGCAGGGGCTGCAGCAGAGCCCTGCATGCAGGCACAGCTGAGAAGACACTGTCCTGATGGAAGAATTGTATCCTGAGTTGTTTCTGTTACTTACAACTTGATCTTGATCCTGAATTGTAACCCATGAGTATGGTCTGTGAGTTCTGTGTGGCCACTGCAACAAATTATCGAACCCAGCAGAGAAGTAGAGAGTGCCATGGGAGGGATGGCTGGTGTCAGAATTGGTAAAAAGTTTCGAGAGTGGTGGAGGTATGTATGTCTGACCTCCACCTCATGGGAATCAGCTTTGGGCTGATGCTGATTCTCATCTCTCACCCTAAAGTCAGACAAGGTCTGACGCTGCCATCATACACAAGAATTTAGTAAACGTTTGTGGAATGAAGAAATGAAGAGTTTTCAGGACTTGGTGAATGCATGAAGTGGGAAAAGGATCAGGGGAATCAAATTAAGCAGAGAAGAAGAAAAGGGCTGTAATACATAGCCTGAAATTCATTGAAAACTAAACTACCGAAGAGATGAAAAATGGTGCAATGAGTTCTTAGTTTTCTTTGTTCAGTTTATAATTCCTGAGAGTGGTTGGTTTCCTTTTATCTTGGTTTCTTTTCAAGGCCAGTATTACCCTCTGCAGTTCAGATCTGGATTTAAAAAAAAAAAAAAAGACCAATTAATTATAGCAAAGGCAAAGAACTTGAGGCTACTCATCTCTTGTAATCTGTCCGGGACCAGCTATGAAAGCCAATATCCCCATGATGTAGGCCTACTTTTACTCTGTTTTTCTTCAAAAAATTCTGACCATGATGTTTACATTTGACAGACCCAGAGATATTTTTCAACAGTTGTTCCAATCCACTCTCAACTCCCTTTTGCATGTTGCTCTATTTTTCACTCAACAGAACACCTGGCAAGGCCTGCTTAGTCTAGGTGTAAAGTGATGGCCTTCCAAACAGGTGCTATGAAGAGGAAAGCCGGGCTTGACCACCTTCTCTAGGGTCCTGCTACATCAATTATCTCTATCTTCAATCTCTCTCAGCCTGGTTCTGCCCCTGATTAGTCACATGCTTGTTTCTGTTATCCTAGAAAATACCTTCCTTTGCTTCTCCTCTAGCAAACCTTGTACAGGAAGTTTTTACTTCCTATCTCAGCGTTCTGACCTTCCTGCCAATAGCCCCTCAACCACAGTAATCTGGCTTCCACTGCCACCATGCTAAGGAAAACTGCTATGGCAAAGGTCACCAGAAACATACGAATAATAATATGAAGTCTTCTTTGAATTCCTCACCCTGTAAGAGTTCTCTGCGGCATTGGACTCTATGGAGTACTACTTTTCTGTCCTCTGAGATACCACTTACTCTTTTTATGCCCCTCTGGCCCAATCTCTTTTTCACTTACTCAAATTCTGCCCATCCATCCCTTTAAATGTTGTTGTTCCTATTGTATCCTTGGGCCTCTTCTCTTGCCAGCTTTCTCTCTAGGTGATATCAGCTTGCTCTCTTAGCTTTAGGACCTGCCTGAAAATTCCCAATCCTCATGTCCAGGCTGCCCCTACTCCCCGAGCTCTCTGCTGGGCTAGAAGTTCTCTTACATAAGAACAGTAAATTAGAAAACAAATGAGCCACTACAGGAGAAGCTTCATCTATCTCACTTCCACTGTTTCTGACATTTCTTTGCTGACTATATTTACTCCAGGAAAGGCAGTTAGGAGGAGGGATGATAACCCCTGCTACAGACTCCTTAGCACTGGAGATAGACACCAACTGCCCATAACCAATCTTCTATTGTTGTGTGCCGTTGAGTTGATTCTGACTCATAGCAACCCTATATGACAGAATAGAACTGCCCCATAGGGTTTCCTAGGCTGCAATATTTATGGGAGCAGATCAACAGGTCTTTTCTCCTGGAGAAGCCTCCGGTGGGTAGCAGCTGAGCGCTTAACCATTGAACCACCAGTGCTCCTTACCCTGAGTAGGTAAAAATTCATGGCAGGAGACTCTCCACGCACGCACTGTGTGCCAGCATTCCTTCCAGAGAATAACGACATGATCCTGAAGTCAGCTGCATTAGTAGTTTAGAGAAGTAGAGTTGGAGGTACCACATGAGTGGTTCAGATTGAGTTTGTTTGGGGGGGAATTTGAGTTTTTCCTGATTTGGGACCTAGCTTGCAGCTGGTTCCCAAGTCTCACTCCTCTCCATGTGTGGAGAATGTAGAAGATTGGGAAATTGCCAAGAGAGAGGGGTGATACCTTCTGGAACCCAGTAGCCTCACTTAAACTTCTTGCAAGCATCCCAAAGTCAAAAACTCCAGAACTGATCTCATCCGTCTGCTTACACTTCCATCCCAACTAACAGTATCAATTTTCACCCCCTTGGCCTAGATGGAAACCTGTGTTATTGGGACTCTTCCTTCTGCAGCAGTGGCTCCTCGTGTGCTGGACCAGCCCCCTGCTATCTCCTGGCTGGACTTTTGTATCATTCCCCAGAAGACTTCCTGCCACCAGTCTCTACCCTAACCAATTCATTGGGTAGCCAGAGGGACCTATCCAAAATATAGACTGATCATCACCTCCCTGCATTAAAACCTCCACTGCCTTGAGGGTAATGCCCAGGCTTTTAGTGAGGTATATGAGATCCAGTGACTCCTTCCCCTCATCCCATCAACACTGGGCTCTTTGTAATTTTTCAAACACACCATGCTGAGTAACTGAGTGCCTACTATGTGCCAGGCACTAATCTACACATTGGATCTACAGTGATAAACATGAGAGAATAAGTTCTTGCTCTCATGCAACTCAGATTTCAGTAAGAAGACCCCATCAATAAATAAGATCAAATCAGATAGTGATCAGGTGCTATGAAGATAATGAAACTGGGTATGGGGGAGGTAGGAAAATCAGCTACTTTAGACATACTCAGGGATGGCCTGAGAAAGTGACATTTAGTTGAACTTGAATGAAAAGAAGCCAGACAAGCAAAGATCTGACAAAGAGTATTTCAGGCAGTTTGATCAGCATAGGAGAAAGATCTTTTGAGGCAAGAACCAGCTCGGCATCTTCCAGAGTCCAAAATAAAGCAGTGAGCCTGAGGCTGGGGGTACAACGCACTAGATGAAGTGGGCCAGTCATACAGGGCCTTGTAGGCCATGGAAAGGAGCTTGGATATTATCTTAAGGACAGGTATTCGCAAGATTTTAATCAAAGGAGTGACATGCTCTGATTTACCTTTTAAAAAGATCACTCTGGCTCTTTTGAAGTTTTGGTGGAGCAGAAGGATAAGCTCCAAGACCAGAAGGGCGTTCTTAAGCCTAAAGTGGCTGTTTGTACTGGAAAAGCTCCTAAAGTCTAGGGAGCTGAGAAAGGGACCCCTGAATGATGAATGGGGAGGTGTTCCCTAATATGCTTGCCTTACTGGCCCTGTGATACCGTAGGGCACATTCATTCAGTCATCCAACACTGGAGACATCCGAGGAGGCACTGCCTCCATCTCCTAATTCAAGTGGCTAGGCCCAGTCAGAGATGGGCTGTTTGGCGCCTCGGAACACCAACAGAGAGACAGGGCTGATGGACTGGCAGGATAGACGAGGCTTCTCACTGATACCCCTCCCAAAGCCGTAAGGGCGGTGTCGCCTGCTCTAGGGCAGGATGCGGACTACAACTCCCAGTAGGCTCCGCGCGCAGGCCGCAGACGCCTCCGCTATTTACTCTGCCAACTGGGCCTGCTGCAGCACTTCAAGGGCAAAGTACAATTTTTCCAGGATCCGAGGTCCATCTTGTTATCCCATTTCCAGAGAAGGTGGCTGTGAGCTCAGGAGGGGAAACGGACTTTTTTTGACGAGAAAAGCGGAGGCAGACGATGGAAAAGGCGCGACCGATTTTCGCGCGCTTTGGCGCGGGTGGTTGTGGGTAGCGTGCCCAGGAAGGAGACTGGATACGGGGGGCTGCTACCGCGCCACCCGCAGGGTCTGAGGGGATGTTCGAGGAGGAACCCCACGCGGAGGGGGCGGCAGTGGTCGCCACGGCCGGGGAGGCACTTCAGGCCCTATGCCAGGAGCTGAACCTGGACGAGGGTAGCGCGGCCGAAGCCCTGGACGACTTCACCGCCATCCGGGGCAACTACAGCCTAGAGGTGAGGGGCGGTGGGACCAGGCCGTCGGCGCAGTGAGCCAGCGGCCAGGCCCCACCCCCGCCCGACCCCGCCCCTACTCTGTGGGGTGGTGGGAGTTTCCCCACCGAGAAGGGTCGCCGCCCAGCCGGGCTCCAGTAAGTGCAGAGTTGAAGGGGCGGGTGTAGATCAGTCAACCCACCCAGTTTTTGAAGCGGGAAACAAACCCAGAAAAGGAGCGGTTTGTCCAAGGTCGCACTTCTGTCAGGGGTCTTCTAGACCCGTGGCTTCCACCTCTGACCTTCCTCCGCCCCGCGAAGCGTTACACACGCCTCACACGCCACGGTACTGCCCTTACATTTCTGAAAACATTGTAATGGTAAAAGCCACAATGAATTCGCGTGCGAAGACACTGCTCAGCGCTTTAAATATGTCATCTCAGTTCTCTCCACAACCCTCTGAACACGTTCTCTGATCCTATTCCACAGTTGAGGAATCTGAGTCCCAAAGAGGTTAAGCTCCTTGTCCAAAGTCACAGGGCAATTAGTGGAGCCAGATTTCGGAATCTGAGCCATTTAAAACCCTTCCAAGACCCATGGGACATGCGGTATCTCACTTTATGCCTCTGGAGGTTTTTGGAAAGGGGGTAGCCTGATTTTAATGTATTTAGCCTCAAGGTGGGAACCTTTTAAAATGTGTGAAACTCAAAAATCCTGAGTGGGGAGCCTCATTTTTGTGTAGATTGAGTACTGGTTTAGGTGATGCCTATCAGATGTGTGAATTTTTAAACTTCTGACAGGTTTACTTTTATTTCTGTGTGATAAACCTCTTCACTATGTTTCCTAGTTACTGTGTTCTGATAAGAATGCACTTATCGCGGGAATAAGCTGTTGCCAGTCTTCATTTAGTCATAGTGGCCATTTTCTCCTTTATGCCTTTCATTGTTTCCAAGTGTTACTGGTTCCCTTCTTTTCTAGCTTCTGAACAGTAAGTAATGCCTTTCCAATAAGGAATAAAACGTATTGCAGTGGTACTTTTCAAGAGATGGAAACTCCTATAAATTATTCTCACCCTGCGTTCAATCGTAGGGCACAATCATTGCTTCCATGTGTAGCAGGTGGAATGCACCGCTGTGAGCAGTTCTGCAGTATTCTAGGGCAGCTGTTTTTGCTTCTTAGCTATTAGTACTGTTTTTGTTATAATGAAGAATACATAGTAGTGGTAATTTTCCTGAGACTCAAATTCCTTTAGTTTTATTTGTTTTGCATCTAAGTACTGCTTTTGCAGTAATGAAGAGAACACTGTAGAGGTGATTTTCCTGAGATTAAAAATCCCTTGGCTTTATTTATTTGGGCTGTAGATACTGTTTTTGCACTAAGGAAGAATGCATTGTACTATGTTTTGAAAAGTTTCATGAAAAATAATAAAAAGGCTAAGAAGAAGGAAACTAGAATAAAATGTGTGTGCAGTCATTACCAGGTGCCTTCATGTTTTACCTCATGTTTTGAAAATTTTCAAGAAATAAAAAAATACCGATTTTATCATTGGCAGGATTTACATCGTCCAGGGGCCACTGGGACACATTGGATCCCAGATAATGAGTATCAAAATCCATAACTCATAACAAAAATTCTGAATTGGTCCTTTAATCAGCATGCCTTCGTTAGTGAAACCACGTAGTACCAACAAAAAATTCAAAGGAGAAAATAATTGGGTCTTGAAAGAGTTAACCTCTCTATCCTCTGCCTCACTAGGGTAGAGGAGCGGGTTGCTCACTTCGTAGCATTGCAGTGTACAGTAGCTTGATCAGAGCTAATATGCAAACAGTGCTTAACCTCTCAACCCCAATTTCCTCCTCTGTCAAATGGGGATAATAGTACTTAACACATTTAGTTGCTGGGAGGATTAAAGGAGTTTAACCTGGTGCTAAGTCCACTGTCTGGCTGTGAGTAAAATAAATATAGGTAGTAGCCGACTTACAGGTTAGGTTCCATTCCTGCCACTCTGTTCTAAGTCGGTTCTGATGTAAGTGGAATACCTCTTTTTTTTTTTTTTAAGTTGTCATTATTGCCTTTTATTATCAGTATCTTTATAAATCCAATCTTTATTTGTCTTTGGGGGTTGGAAACATTAATGCAAACTTACAGATATATTTTAATACCTACATACATTAAAAATTACACAAAACTTCAGTGATGAAGAAGAGTTGGATGACGTTGGCATTTTGTCAGTTGCAGTAATAACTGCACTTGTGGAAGGTTCTGGATCATCTGGATTATCCCTGGGAATGGGGATGGCATTTCTAGTCAGAAGATTATTGAGAGTTGCCTATATGGTCCTTTTCTTTTTTTCTTCATATGTTTCACCGTAACATCTCACTGCTTCCCAAATCTGCCTGTTGACTTTAGCAAAGTGATCAGCATTTGGGTCCATGTTTTTGAGCAACTGCGTACACAGTTCAGTTGTTGTATGTCGTTGGAGATGAACATTGCCCAACTTTCTGTTGCCCAACACTGACACTGACTTCTTTGTAGACCAGGCCATAGCCTGCTATACAGCAGTATTTTGAACAGTAAATCATAAAGTTGAACATCTGCAAGTGAACATCTGAGAATGATAACATCAGCAAATTACATGCTGCAACATTGGATGTAGTACATATTACTAAGAAATAAGATGTTAAAAAAAAAAAGACAGTTATAAGTGCAGTTCGTCATAACTTGAATACCTCGTAAGTCGAGGGCTACCAGTATTAAGTGTTGAATTCCCAAATGTCATTTTTATTATAGCATTGTAAATTGAGATAACTGCTAAGTTGGAGATCCATACTTCCTTTTTTAAAGATAACATGTTTAAGGGTAAATTGGTCACCAAATCTTTACCTCACAAAAATGACAATCTCCTTTATGTCACAAGATAAGTATTAATTTTTATGTATGACCCTCCCCCTTGCTAACTTTCTACTGTGATCTTTCCTTTTGCTGTCAAACTGGTTAAAAAAGATACATAAAACTAAAATGGTAGAAAGTAACTTCAGCATCATTAAGATGATAACAGGTGTTTTGAAATCAAGAAAGCTGAGGCAGAGAAATTTTAAGAGAACCGTTTCAATAATTTGAGGTGTAGCATGTTATAAGAACATGGGATTAATAATAAGGTGTTTTATACCCAGTACTGCAACTAACTGAGCTTTGTGACCTTGGGCAAGTCTCTTTACCTCTCTGCCCCTTTATCTACAGAAGGAAAATTAGACCAGATAATTCTGAGATTTCTTCTGACTTTGGAATTCAAGTATTTTAATGTAATAACATACTCATTTTGCTTTTTTTTGTCTTTTACCTGCCAGGGAGAAGTTATACACTGGTTGGCATGTTCATTATATGTTGCATGCCGCAAAAGCATTATTCCCACAGTTGGAAAGGGTGTCATGGAAGGAAATTGCGTATCACTTACCAGAATACTACGTTCAGCTAAATTAAGGTGAAGTACTTTGATTTTTCAAATGTTGTTTTATAAATTCTGAATTTAATTTTAGAATTTAATTTCTCTTTAAATCATTTGGCTTCATTCAATACTAAGGTTGTTATCACATAGATATCATTTCCTAATTGTCATATTCTTCCTCTGCCTCTTTTCCTCAAATTCTGGCTTTAATCAGAGGACTCTGTGCTAAATCTTTTTTAGCTATATTTTTTTCATTAAAAAAATATTTTTAGCTAGGGGTCCTAGTATGTGGCATAAATACAATACAAACCGTAACTAACAATGCACAAACACCAGAAGATAAACCAGGTAACTGGGAGCTCCTAAAAATTAAACACTTTTGCCCATCAAAAGACTTCACCAAAAGAGTGAAAAGAGAACCTACAGACTGGGAAAAAAATTTTGGCTATGACATATCCAACAAGGGTTTAATCTCTAAAATCTATACAATACTTCAACACCTCAACAACAAAAAGACAAATAATCCATTTTAAAAATGGGCGAAGGATGTGAACAGATACTTCACCAAAGAAGACATTCAGATGGCTAACAAAGGAAGTGCTTGCGATTATTAGCCATTAGAGAAATGCAAATCAAAACCACAATGAGATACCATCTCACCCCAACATTACTGGCACGGATCGAAAAAGCAGAAAATAACAAGTGTTGGAGAGGTTGTGGGGAGATTAGCACTCTTACACACTGCTGGCAGGAATGTAAAATGTTACAACCACTATGGAAAATGATATGGCACCTCCTTAAAAAGCTAGAAATAGAAATGCTGTATGATTCAGCAATCCCACTACTAGGAATATATCCTAGAGAAATAAGAGCCATTACGCAAATAGACATATGCACACCCATGTTCATTGCAGTATTATTCACAATAGCAAAAAGATGGACACAACCTAAGCACCCATCAGTAGATGAATGAATAGACTATAGTACATACACACAGTGGAATACTATGCAACGATAACGACGATGAATCCATGAAACATTTCACAGCATGGATAAATCTGGAGGACATTATACTGAGTGAAATAAATCAATCACAAAAGGACAAATACTGTATGAGACCACTATTATAAAAATCCAAGAAAAGATTTACACACAGAAAAAAACAACCATTGATGGTTATAAGGGGTGAGGAGATAAATCACTAACTAGATAGTAGACAAGGGTTAATAGCTTTGGTGAAGGAAGGATGACACACAATAATAGGGGAAGTCGGCACAACTTGACCAAGGCAAAGTCATAGGCGCTTCCTAGACCCATCCAAACACCTCTGAGGGACCGAGTTACTGGGGCTGAGGGCTGGGAACCATGGTCTTGGGGGACATCTAGGTCAGTTGGCATAACATAGTTCATAAAGAAAATGTTCTACATCCTACTTTGGTGAGTAGCGTCTGGGGTCTTAAAAGCTCGTAAGCAGCCATCTAAAATACATATATTGGTCCCACCACATTCAGAGCAAAAGAGAATGACGAAAACCAGAGACACAAGGAAAATATTGGTCCCAGGGACTAATGGACCACATGAACCACAGCCTCCACGAGCCTGAGCCCAGAAGAAATAGATGGTGCCCAGCTACCACCACCAACTACTCTGACGGACCACAATAGAGGATCCCAGACAGAGCAGGAGAAAAATGTAGAACAAAATTCAAATTCACAAAAAAAGACCAGACTTACTGGTTTGACAGAGACTGGAGAAACCCTCGAGACTATGGCCCCTGACACCCTACTAACTCAGAACTGAAGCCACCCCCCGAAGTCCACCTTTCAGCCAAAGTTCAGACAGGCTTATAAAACGAACAACAACACAGGTGAAGAATGTGCTGCTTAGATCAGTCAAGACCAGATGGGCAACACCTGCCCAGAAGGAAAGACGAGAAGGCAGGAAGGGACAGGAGAACTAGACAAATGGACAAGGAGATTCCAGGGGGGAAAGAGAAAGGGGAAGAGTGCTGATACATTGCGGGGATTGCAATCAATGTCATAAAACAATTTGTGTATAAATTTTTGAATGCGAAACTAATTTACGCTGTAAACTTTCACCTAAAACACAGTAAAATTTTATTTATTTGGAAATAATTTCAAGCTTACAGAAAAGTTGAGGAAATAAGAAAAGTAGAAAGAACGCCCATCTACCCTTTACCAAGATTCACCTAGTATTAACATTATTAATCCATTTGCTTTATCATTTTATCTTTTTCTCTAAAATAATATTTTTTCTTCAGCCATTTCAAAGTATGTAGCATGCATTCTAGTCCTTTACTCCTAAATATTTCAATGTATATTTCCTTAAATAAATACAGTACAGTTATTAACGTCAGCAAATTTAACTTGATTCAGTAATTTAATCTACTGTCTATATTCCAGTTTTGTCAGTTAATCCAATAATGTCCTTTATGGCATTTTTTTTTCTTTGTGTACATTTTCCAATGTAGGATCAGGTATTGCATTCACATGTCATATCTCTTTAGTCTTCTTTAATCAGGATCATTTTCATAGCCTTTGTCTTTTTTTTTTTTTTTTTTTTAGTGGCAAAATATATATAACAAAATATTTGCCATTTCAACTGTTTTTACACGTACAATTCAGTGACATTAATTACGTTTACCATGTTGTGTAACCATCATCACTCTCTGTTTCCAGATTTTTTCGTCACATCTTTGTTTTTTATGTCATTGACATTTTTGAAGAATATAGTCTACAACCACCTCACCCCTCTTTTTAATACATTGTTCCTCATTTTGGACTTGTCTGATATCTCCTTATGATTAGATGTAGGTTATACATCCTCAGATGGAAAACTACATAAGTGATATGTGTCCTTAGGGTATCACATCTGGAGGCACATGATATCCATCTGCCTGTCATTGGTAACGTTAATTTTGATCATCTGATTAAAGTGTCCTGTTTCTCTACTATATAGTAAATATCTTTTCCCTTGTAACAGCTAAGCAGTCTGTAGGTCTTACCTTTAGCTTTTATTTGCTCTAGTCTCAACTGGATGGAACTCTTTGCCTAGATAGGAAACAGAAGAAATGGAGTGATCCAGATTTGCCTAGGTGCTGATGTTTTTTGTTTGTGGGTTTTTCACGTGGGACAAAACTATCTGAGGCCATTGTGCATTCCTGGGTTTCCAGAATAGAAGACAAGAAACTTTAAAGCTTTATCAAGAGATAGCAAATAGGTTTTAGTTCATACTAAATTAAAAAAAAAAAAAATCTCAGAACAATTTTGTTTCTATGAATGGAAATATAATAAAGTCAAGATAATTAAAAAAAATACTTTTAATAGATATCAATTTTTATCATTGATGATAAAAGTATAATTAAGATTGATAGGGTTAATTTTTTTAATTGAGCAAAATCATATCCATTGTAGTATAAAACAGTCTGATCTTTTTCTGTCAGTGTTTCTCGTTGCAGACCATATAAAATTTTAAAGATCCTTGTTGAGGAAATGGAACAAAAAAAATTATAACTTAAAATTTTTAGAGCAATACATTCTCATGATAAAAATTTCAAATAATACAGAAGTGCTGAAAGTAGAAAGGTATCTCCTCCTTTTTCCATTTCCCAGAATTAACCAGTATTAACAGTTTCTTCTTATTTATAAACATACGTACATCTATCTGTTTTTTTCCTTTTTAACATAAATGTGGTCATACTATGTATATTTTTCTTACTTTATATTCTGGAAATGGTTACATATCAACATAGGTAGCTCTACATCATTAATTTTTTTAATCACTCTTGGATATTTTAGGATACAAGGATGTTTTGTATATTTAGCTAGCCCCTTATCAATAGACATTTAGATTATATCCATTCCTTTGTGATTACAGACAAGTAAACATCATTGTAAATATGTATTTTGGATAAATTCCTAAAAATGTAGTGATGGGTCAAAGGATATGTGTTTTTTTAAATGTAGATTGATATTCTCAAATTACCTTCACCTCAAAAAACATGTTTTTAAGTATTAGACTCTTAGTTGTGAAAAGAGCAGTTGACCAGCATCAACATGTTCGTTAAGATAAATAAAAAAGAATTGCAAGTGATGTTATTTGATTTGATTCATAATATTTTGGGCAGTTTTCAAATTTTTGACTTTGAATGTAAATTTTAAATGATTATGTAGAGATTTAAGGAGCCCTGGTGGCACAGTGGTTAAACGCTGGGCTGCTAACTGAAGGGTCAGCAGTTTGAACCCACCAGCCAGTCTGCAAGAGAAATATGTGTCTGTCTGCTTCCTTAAAGATTACAGCCTTGGAAAGCCAATAGGGCAGTTCTGCTCTGTCCTCTCAGGTCTCTCTTGGGTTGCTATGAGTTGGAATCAACTAGACAGCAGTGGTTATGTAGATACATACAGACATGAAAAAATGCTCATCACATTGTTAATAAATTATATTGGAAAGTAATATATAAGCATAGATTATAGATATCCGTTACTGTTGAGTCGATTCCAACTCATAGTAACCCTGTAGGACAGAGTGGAACTGCCCTGTGGGTTTCCAGGGCTGTAATCTTTAAGAAAGCAGACTGTCACATCTTTCTCCCTTGAAGCTGCTGGTGGGTTCCAACCACCAACCTTTCGGTTAGCAGCCAAGTTCAACCACTGCACCACCAGGGATTCTTAGATTATAGATACACTTACAAAAGTAACAGATTTTTATGGAGTACTTATTTGTATTCCAGGCACTTACCATGTGCTAAGTGTTGGGAATGTCTTTATTTGTTTAATCCTCATAGTAATCCCACGAAGTAAATCCTATTTTAGACATGAGGAAATTTAGTCACTTCCCTGAGGTTATATACCTATAAGTGGCAGATCTAGTATTCAGGCATACAGTTTGACTACCAAGTCCATGCTATGTTATATATGCATCTGCACACGATATATTATTAGTATGTCTCTGTTTTAAACTGTATTTATAATTTGGTTTACAAAAAATGTTAATACCAAAGCAACTTCTAACTTAAAAAATCTATATATCATGTAAAAATTTGTTTTTTTATTAAGTGTAATATTAAAAACTTGTATCTGTTGCACAATTTGAATTTTTAATTCATTTTAATAAAGAAAATTGTGTGAGTTTCATTATTTTAAGTATTAAGAAGTAATTTTTCCACATAACAATTTTTCATTAACTTGTGATTTAAATCAAGATGACTATTATTCTTTCAGTAATTATTTTCATATTATAATAAAGCCTGAATGAAAATTTAGTTTATGAAAAACTATTTTTCATACTTTTTAATTAGAACATTGCTGATGCTAATTTGTTACAAAGTAATTTTCTTTTTATCTTTCCTGTGCTTATAAAATTCAGTAGCATACTGCTGTTGAGACATGTGCCACATATCTGCTGTCCCTACCCTATACTTCGGAACATTTCCTTTTGCATACGTTCTATAGACTTCTTAAGCTCTGGAAACTGCCTCCAGAGACACTAAAGGCACTGCTGCCTAACATACAACCTCTTGTTTTTCTGATATTGAGCTTCTGTGCCATTTCTGAAACCCAGCTATTTTATATGTATGTATATACACACATATATATATATATATTTTTTTTTAATTTAACTATGAATAAAACCCATGCTTTTTTGGCAGTTGCCTTAACAAGTTCTTTACATGCATGATAAGTTTTCAAAAATTATTCATTCTACCATTCCCTTCTATTACTACATTCAGTATGAGTTTATCTTTCTAGCATAATAAAGAGAGAAAAAGTTGAGGAATTATTTGCTTTTAAGGCTGTATATACTTTGGAGTGTTTCTTTAATCTGGTTTTTGTGGCACTGAAAAGGCTTTTCCTGTGTAAAACATTTATTTGTCAGGCCCCAGAACAAAAATGACAGCGCTTTTATCAGTTGTTATTCATTAACATAAATAATTTGAAATGAGATTGTGATTTTTATTTAGATATGAGGACAGAGTTATTGGAGAGGATAAATTGCTGGCTGAGTTTTAAACTAATGCAATTTAACATGGTTATACTACAGTGGAGTGGATGTTCTTTGATATAGTGATAAAATCCCATTGTAGGAAAAGCCATTAGAAACAAAGCACTGTTTAAAAAAAGACAGAGAGACAAAAGCTGGAATTCTAATATGTAGCAGTGAGTATTCCTTTTGTTACAAATTTTTCATGTAGAATAATATTCACTACAAAAAAATTTTTTTTGTTATAGCAAAAAGCTGGAAACAACCTAAATGTCTATCAAGAGGGAAATGGCCTAAAAGGAGTGAAACCTCAGTAGCAATGAACTACCCAGATCTTGGTTTCTAAGTACCATTCCCCACACACCAGGACTCCTTGGAGAAATAACTGATTTCCAAAGCTGGGGCAAGGATGTTTTCCCTCATGAGCCTAGATCAGCTTATTATGCCAGAAATTAAGGAAGTGTTCAAAAACATGCTGGGGACATGTGCAAGGGACATAGGAGCTAGCTTGAAAATGCTCTCATTAGTAGCCTAATTTGGGACAATTAGTAGGAACAGTAATGGAATATAGCACATTGAATATGATCTATACTGATAATAAATAAGGGAGAAGGGAAAGCTCTTTCTTGCTAGACTGTCACCTAATAAATGTAAAAGAAATGATAGTGCTAGAAAAATCACCATTGAATAGTGCTGTTGCTCCTCTAGATTCAAAATCCCAAGCAGATGCATCTGATCGAGGATCACAGATTATTTTCCTTCCTCATAATTTTCAGTGAAGCTGATCTATCAAGTGGAAGGCACTCGAACAAAGGAAAGGGTTTCATGTGCTGAGCATTCCCCCCACCCCCGCGCGCCAAAAAAAATCCTTTATTGGGGATCGTGAGCCAAAAAAATATTTGGTAATCTAAAATTTTTTTGCTACTATCAATAAGAATCTTTTAAACGGACTCTTAGATTCTCAGATTTCAAACAGCATGTCAGGAGTTTGAAAACCTATAGGTAATTAGCTGATGATGCCTTCTATCATCTTTTTAAAAAATTACAAGTATCAGTCTATATATAGTGCTAGACACTGAATAAAGTGAGCTTTTTTTCCCCCAAGACCACACTAGCATGGGAATTTAAGAATATACTCACAAATGAATAAGCCAGAAAGGTGGAGTAATAATCTATTAAGTGATTTTCTGGGTATGTACTACCTTCTTAGTTTAGTTTTAATGGTGGAGCCTCATGTTGGGACTCAAATGCTGAATTTTACTCCTAACTTCTGACAGTCTGGTGCTTTGTGATCAACTTCCCAAACCCAGCATTTGGGAACCTTCTGTTTTTCTTAAATTAATGTTGTGAACCCATCAATCTGTTAGCAAGCATTTACTTCGTAATTCCTACGCAGAGCATTGTCTAGGTGCTGTAGAGAATAAAAGAAGTAGGTTGCTGCTCTCACTGCATCACAGGAGACACTTTATGTGATGACGTTTAATTCAAAATCTACATCCCCTTGGTGATCATGGGGACCAAAATAATTTTATAGCACTTGGGAGTGGGGTTTATATAATGTCAGGCTTTTTTTTAAAGATTCTTAGTCACAAATAGAATGTTTTCTTTTAATTGAATCCCTTTTCTATGGACTAATTTTAAAGTTACTTTGTTTTCTGGGTTTTTTTTTTTTTTTAGTTTAATTCAGTTTTTTAGTAAAATGAAGAAGTGGATGGACATGTCAAACCTGCCACAGGAATTTCGTGAACGTATAGAAAGGCTAGAGAGAAACTTTGAGGTATCTACTGTAATTTTCAAAAAATTTGAGCCAATTTTTTTAGATATATTTCAAAATCCATATGAAGAGCCACCAAAGTTACCACGAAGCAGGAAGCAGAGGTGAGACCCTTAATTTTTATGTAGTTTCATACAGATTATGGTACAGACTTTTTAAGAAAGTTTGCTTTTTTAAAAGTCTGCTTTTTACCAGAAGTATCCTTCTGCAAAGAACTTATATATCTTTTTAAATCCATGTACGATTATCCATATTTGAAAATCTAGGGTAATACCTATTTTCCTATGTTCTGATTATTTTATGCAGATTGGAAAGGTTCATTCATTTGTTGAGCCATATTTTGTCTGTCCTTAGTGAATGGAACTGTATGTGTGATTTGATTTTACTATTTATATTTGCTGTTTCAATTTTAAATAAAAAACTTGAAATGATATTTAGCAAGCTAATCAGAAAGGCAAAATGTATATTTTTTTTCCCCCTTTTAGAAGGATTCCTTGCAGTGTTAAGGATCTCTTTGATTTCTGCTGGACGCTCTTTGTTTACACAAAAGGTAAGCTGACACTTTGGTTTTACATTTCTTCTGTGGAAGCTTGGTGCTATTTGGCAGGAGTGATTTCTGGTTTTTGTCTTTTTTTTCCTTGAAGGGAACTTTCATATGATTGGGGATGATTTAGTAAACTCTTACCATTTACTTCTGTGCTGCTTGGATCTCATTTTTGCCAATGCCATTATATGCCCAAATAGGAGAGACTTGCTAAATCCATCATTTAAAGGTAAGATCTTATTTATACTTGAAAACTGATTATCAGTTTTTGGAAAAAGAGTTTTAAAAGTTGATCATGCTGTTTTTCCCCTCTGCATCTCTTCATACCCTGTGAAACTAGGTTTACCACCTGATTTCCATACTGCTGACTTTAGGGCTTCTGAAGAGCCTCCCTGCATCATTGCTGAACTGTGTGAACTGCATGACGGACTTCTGGTAGAAGCAAAAGGAATAAAGGAGCACTACTTTAAGCCATACATTTCAAAACTCTTTGATAGGAAGGTACTGTCCTCATAATTAAATGACTGAGATGTTTTAGGGGTCAGCAGCAGTCTCAAAGGAAAAAACAATGTTTTAAGCAAGTTATCAATATTACAGTACTCAAGGGCATGATTCCCATGTCTCATTCTCAGTTGTGATGCCGATTTGTCCTATGATCTTGTATGATTTGATTAACTGAGCTTAATCTAACCTTACTGAAAAAAACTGAAGAATGTTACCAACCATAGGTACTGTCAAACAAATGCAACTGTATCAGGGGCAACTGTAGGAGGCACTAACAAAGAATTAGAAAGAACAGAACATCAGAGTAAGCCTGATGAAGAATTAGGAAAAACAGGACCTAAGAGTAAGTTTAATGTAACTACTGACACAAATTGAATAACTGCTGACTCTTTACTAAAAGTAGGATGACATATAACAATGGTGGCTTTAATTCCATAGAAAGTCCACTATAAGTTTGTCATCACCTGCAGGCTACCTGCATTCATTCTGGAGGTTTTTTTCCTCAATAATAAACTTAACTGTTTCTGTATTTATGAATTGGCATGTTAATTTGGGTCTTGATTTCTTGTTTCCCCAGCGTTGAGCCATTTAATCCAGCTAGGCCTTGGGTTTTCACTTTGGTACAAGGAGGGGTTTAGATTTGGTCATCACTGTGGTTCCCTTTTTGCTAGAAAGTTAGGAGATTTTTCTTTAAGCATGAAATCTTCCCAAACTGGCTTCCTCTCTTATATAAACTTTTGTGTTTCGTCCCCTCTTTCCTCAAATATGCATTTCATGGCTCCTTATCTCTGTGGTGAACATCTCCAACAAAGTAAACTTTTAAAGGAACCCAGGAATTATGTCTGTTATGTTCTACAGAGTCAGCATACTAGTGGCCCCTGGGTATAGCCCTGTTTACCTGGATTATCTGGTTTTTGCCTATTGTCTTGGCATAATAATTAATAGCATTTCCTCTTACTCCCAGAAGTATCCTGGTTTGGACAACGGTCCTCCTGCCAATAGGCCACAGATGTTTTCTTTGCCCTGCCTAGGATATTTACTTTTATTTTGTTCATTTAAAAAATATAAAATATCAAGACCTATTATATGAAAATCTTTTAAAAATCAGAAGATATGGCAATACTAGGAATTTCTACATGGGTAACTGTTGGCAGGCTAAATTATGGTCACCTCTTTTAGGATGGGAAGTGTACTTTCTGCTCTCTTCTTTTATGTATGTTGACCCCTGGCCCCTGAAGACATTTGAATATGCAACCCCTGATGTCTGGTAATCTCAGTATACTGTGGGTTTACAGCAAATATTGATAGTGTAGTTTTTCTCTCTTACCAAAGAGAGTAGCTACATTCTCTCTGAATCCTTTGCTTGTCTGACACATAATAATAATTCAGTAAATGTTAGTTACCCTTCTTTGCAGATCAATGTTTAATAATAACAACTTGCATCAGAATCCCTTGGGGGAGTTTGTTAAAAATGCTGCCTCAGCTCAGGCCTGCTGACTCAGTCATTGCTGGTGAGGGCCATCTTTCTGCTTTCTTAACACGTTCTGTAAGTGATCCTTATGCCACTGAAATTTGGAAACCACTGCTATAGGCCAGGAAACCTGGTGGCACAGTGGTGAAGAGTTTGGCTGCTAACCAAAAGGTTCGCAGTTTCAATCCACCAGCTGCTCCTTGGAAACCCTGTGGAGCAGTTCTACCCTGTCCTGTAGGGTCGCTATGAGCCGGAATTGACTCCATGGCAGTGGGTTTGGTTTTTTGTTTTGTTTTTTTTTGCTATAGACTAACCTCAGTTTTCAGAACTTGACTTTACATGTCTTTTCAATATTTTATTTGCATGCTAAATAGGTTTCACTAGTCTGAAAGAACCATTTATTAATTCTGTTTTGTGTGTGTTTGTGTGCTGTATGTGTGCACATGTGCACACATGTATTATAGCAAATACCAATGTGAAAATTCAGGTAATTTTTTTGTTTTTCTTTGTGTTACTGTGCTTAATTATATTATGTGATGTCCTAAAATGACTTTTTCTTCCCAGATTTTAAAAGGAGAATGCCTCCTGGACCTTTCCAGTTTTACTGATAATAGGTCAGTGTCTAGCATTGGTGTAAAGGAATCCAACTGATTTTTGTATGTTTATCTTGTATCCTGGCATATTATAGGTTGTCAATAATGATTTGTTGAAATTTGTTAAGTGAAACATTTTATCAGGATAAATCTTCCAAATTCAAGTTTCCTCTGCTTTAGTGGCATTGTCTGATAGTCTTATAGGCTCTAAGTACATTTAACACAACTTCTTTCCTGAGAAACTCATAAACTATCTCAATGACTTCTGCATTTGGGTTTACATTCTTTCATTAATCAAATGTTAGCAAATTCAGAATGCACATATTTCAAAGCCACCATTGTTTCCGCACTGATCATCTGTAATTTTCTTTCTCTTAATTAGATTCAGCTAGTTTTCTGATATATATTTTTTTGCTTACTTTTCAAAATAATTTACTGCTGTGTATATGAATATTAAGAATGTCCATAATCAAATTGGCACCTCTGGTATTATCAGAGGGGCAGAGTTAATAAAAACTTCTCTATAAGACAAGTCAGTTTTCCCAGGCTGTGGATTCTAAATCTATCTTCAAGTCAAGATGAATCCATTGTGTAACTTAGTTTTATCCTAACAGCTTAAAATAATTCTCTTTGCAGCAAAGCAGTGAACAAGGAGTATGAAGAGTATGTTCTAACTGTTGGTGATTTTGATGAGAGAATCTTTTTGGGAGCAGATGCAGAAGAAGAAATTGGAACTCCTCGAAAGTTCACTGGTGACACTCCATCGGGGAAACTGACAGCACGGGCTAGTGTGGAGTGTAACCTTCAACAACACTTTGAAAAAGTAATATAACCTAGCCTGGCCTCAGTCTTGAATGATCTTTCTCTTTCTGTGTGATACTACTAACAGCAGAAGCATCTTTCAAGTTAAATCTTGAGTTTCTCCTACTAATTCATATTTCCCATTGAAGCCTTAAAAGGTAATTTTTTAAACTATGGCATCAATATTTTTACTGGTTTCTTGCTATTATTCATTTTTTTTTAATACAGTTTCCACAACATGCATGACTTTTTTGATTGTGTATCTTTTGACATAATTTTTTTTTAATTTTCTATTTTTGCCCATACAAAAATTTGTACATACATTGTTATGTGACTCTAACTGCTCTCCCCATACTGTGACAGCACACTGCTCCTTTCCACCCCTGATTCCCCATGTCCATTCAACCAGCTTCTAAGCCTCTCTGCCTCCCCATCTCACCTCCAGAAAGAAGCTGCCCATTTAGTCTCCTGTATCTACTTGAGCTAAGAGGCATACTCCTCACGAGTATCACTTTATTTCCCACAGTCCAGTCCAACCGCTGTCTGAAGAGTTGGCTTTGGAAATTGTTTTAGTTCTGGGCTGATAGAGAATCCAGAGGCCATGCTTTCCAGGGTACCTCCAGTCTCAGGTGATTAAGTGTGGTCTTCTTAATAGAATTTGAGTTCTGCACCCCACCTTTCTGCTGCTCCATCAGTGACTTTCTGTTGTGTTCCCTGTCAGGGTGGTCATTGGTGGTAGTCGGGCACCGTCTAGTTCTGCTGGTCTCAGGCTGATGAAGTCTCTGGTTTACGTGGCCCTTTCTTTCTCTTGGGCTAATACTTCCCTTGTGTCTTTGGTGTTCTTCATTCTCCTTTACTTCAGGTGGTTGGGACCAATTGATGCATCTTAGATGGCTGCTTGCAAGCTTTTAAGACCCCAGACACCAATCACCAAAGTAGGATGCAGAACATTTTCTTAATAAGCTTTGTTACGCCAGTTGACCTAGATGTCCCCTGAAAGCATGGTCCCCAGACCTCTACCTCTGCTACTCTGTCTCTCAAAGTGTTTGATTGTATTCAGGAAGCTTCTTAGCTTTGATTTAGTCCAGTTGTGCTGACATCCCCTGTAGTGAGTGCTGTCCTTCCCTTCACCTAAGATAATTCTTATCTACTATCTGGTTAGTAAATAACCCTCACCCTCCCTCCCCACCCTCGTAACCATCAAAGAATGTTTTCTTCTGTGTTTAAACCTTTTCTTGAGATCTTATAATAGTGGTCTTATACAATATTTATTCTTCTGTGACTGACTAAAGTCACTCAGCATAATGACGTCCAGCTTCCTCCATGTTATAGGATGCTTCACGGCTTCATCGTTGTTCTTTATCGTTGTGTAGTATTCCATTGTGTGGATAAACCAAAATTTGTTTATCCATTCGTCTGTTGATGGGCACCTAGGTTGTTTCCATCTTTTTGCTATTGTGAACAGTGCTGCAGTGATGAACATGGGTGTGCATATATCTATTCGTGTGATGGCTCTTATTTATCTGGGATATGTTCCAAGGAGTGGGATAGCTGGATCGTATGGTACTTCTAGCTTTTTACGGAAGCTCCAAATCGATTTCCAAAGGGGTTGTACCATTGTACATCCCAACGACAGTGTATAAGTGTTTCGGTCTCTCTATAACCTCTCCAGCATTTATTATTTTATGTTTTTTACTTAATGCCAGCCTTGCTGGGGTGAGAGGATATCTCGTTGTAGTTTTGATCTGCATTTCTCTAATGACTAATGATCGTGAGCATTTCTTCATGTGTCTGTTAGCCACCTGAATATCTTCTTTGGTGAAGTGCCTGTTCATATCCTTTGCCCACTTTTTAATTGGGTTATTTGTCTTTTTGTTGCTGAGGTTTTGCAGTATCTTGTAGATTTTAGAGATTAGACACTGATTGGATTTGTCATAGCCAAAAATTTTTTCCCAGTCTGTAGGTTGTCTTTTACTCTTTTGGTGAAGTCTTTTGATGAGCATAAGTGTTTGATTTTTAGGAGCTGCCATTTATCTGGTCTCTTTTCTGGTGCTTGTGCATTGTTGCTTAAGGTTCATATTGTGTTTATGCCATGTATTAGGGCTCTAGCGTTGTCCCTATTTTTTCTTCCGTGATCTTTATCATTTTCACTTTTATATTTAGGTCTTTGATCCATTTTGAGTTAGTTTCTCTGCATGGTGTGAGGTATGGGTCTTGCTTCAGTTTTTTGCAGATGGATATCCAGTTATGGCAGCACCATTTGTTAAAGAGACCGTCTTTTCCCCAGTTAACGGACTTTGGGCCTTTCTCAAATATCAGCTGCTCATAGGTGGATGAATTTATGTCTGAATTCTCAATTCTGTTCCATTGGTCTATGTATCTGTTGTTGTACCAATACCGGGCTGTTTTGTGGTGGTATAATAGGTTCTAAAATAAGGTAGTGTGAGGCCTCCCACTTCGTTCGTTCTTCTTCTTGAGTAATGTTTTACTTTTTTGGGGCCTCTTGCCTTTTCATATGAAGCTGGTGGTTTGTTTCTCCATCTCATTAAAAAATGCCAATGGAATTTGGATCGGGATTGCATTGTATCTGTACATCACTTTGGGTAGAATTGACATTTTCACAATGTTGAGTCTTCCTATCTGTGGGCAAGGTATGTTTTTCCACTTATGCAGTTGTTTTGGTTTCTTGCGGTAGTGTCTTGTAGTTTTCATTGTATAGATCTTTTATGTCTCTGGTTAGATTTATTCCTAAGTATTTTATCTTCTTGGGGTCTGTTGTAAATGGTATTGATTTGGCAATTTCCTCTTTGAGTTTTCTTTTTTGGTGTAAAGGAATCCAACTGATTTTTGTGTGTTTATCTCGTATCCTGAAACTTTGCTGAAATCTTCTAGTAGTTTTCTTGTGGATTCTTTTGGGGTTTTCTGTGTATAAGATCATATCATTTGCTAATAGAGATACTTTGACTTCTTCCCTACCAGTTTGGATGCCCTTTATTTCTTTTTCTAGCCTAATTGCTTGACATAAAGAATTTATGCTTTTCTTACCATTCTTTCTTTTTAGCAACTTAGCCTCTGATCTATTACTTTAAAATTTAGTTTGCTTTCCTACCCATGATAACTACTGTATAGTCTTTCCTACCCTCAGCCTTATAACTCTGGACTTGATTATTAATGGCCAAGGCTTAATTCTGTGTTTATTTGTGAATTGGGTTGGAGAATGAGGTCTGATGGAAAATTCACTGGTCTAGAAAGTAGAAAACCTAAGTTTTAGTCCAAACTCTGCCATTAACTTTGTTCAGCTTAAACAGGTTTTTTTTATTTTTTTTATTTTTTTGTTTTTTATAACTTAATCTGTGCCTGTTTCCTCATATGTGAAATGAAAATATGCATGCCGTATATTTCAAAGGGGCCCTGGTGGTGCAGGTGTTAAGTGTTGAGCTGCTAACCAAAAGGTCGACAGTTTGAGTCCACCAGCCACTCTTTGGAAACCCCATGGGGCAGTTCTGCTCTGTCCTATAGGGTTGCTATGAGTCGGACTTGACGGCAGTGGGTTTGGTTTTTGTTTTTTTTTTTGTATATTTCAAAAGAGTGTTGTGAAGATGAGATTATAGATAGAAAGTACTTTGGGAAAGTAAGTGTTATTTAAATGTAAGAATGTTAAATTGGCATCATATTGCTAAAAATTTGCCAAGTAACCAGAGGAGAGGAAAAAGTAACCTATCACTAAATATGAATGAAGAATATGGTATAGGTACTGAATAAAACACATAATAAGGGGAAGTTAGCATTTGTTCTGACAGATTTTTCTTTTCTGACAGAAAAGAACATTTGCACCTTCTACCCCTCTAACAGGACGGCGATATTTACGAGAAAAAGAAGCAGTCATTACTCCTGTTGCTTCAGCAACGCAGAGTGTGAGCAGGTTACAGGGTATTGTGGCCGGACTGAAAAATGCTCCAAGTCAACAACTTATAAATATTTTTGAGTTAGTACAATACTGTTTATTTTTCTGGCCTTCACCTTTAAAGTAGATTCTGTATTCCATTCTATTCTCAGTATTTTCAAAGTTCTTGAGATGGTGAATATGTCTGGCAAGTTTTACTATAACATTTCAGTCGCAAAGTGTGTTAACCTAAAACAAGCCAGAAGTACCTACTGAAGGTTGTGTATAAATGTTACACATTTATAGGATTTCATAGGATTATAGACTCTTAAGTTTAAATACATCTTAAAGATCATTTAGTTCAAACATTCCATTCTTGTAACTACCTCTGAGTTATGCGTTAATATTTTTATTTTCGTATTAACTTTAAATAGGTTCAGTCTAAGTATCTATCAAATTGGGGAACTGATTATATATTGATGGTACAGCCATAAAATGGAATTTTATATAGTTGTTTCAAAAAAGGAGGCTTGTTTCCTGAGAAATATGATAGAATGAAGTCAGATCAGATAACCTGTTTTTCTAACACCTAGTGAAATAAGATAATGCCCTGCTGGCACAGTGGTTAAAGCACTGGGCTGCTAACCAGAAGGTTGGGGGTTCGAAACCCACCAGCCCTCTCCACAGGAGAGAGATGTGGCAGTCTGCCTCAGTAAAGATTTACAGCCTTGGAAACGCTTTGGGGCAGTTCTTCTCTGTCCTGTAGGATCTCTTTGAGTTGGAATTGACTTGATGGCAATGGGTTTGGTTTTGTTGGAATGAAATAAAAGAATAGTAAAAACTAACAAAATATTTGCCATTGGTAACCAAATGAGGAGAGGGATATGATCTCATGCCATAAATTTCCAGAGTGGTGGTCAGGAAAGGAAATGGATGATTTTGGTATGCTCATCCCCAAAAAGCAGTACTGAGGAAAGAAGGGTATGTTGATAGAGTCTGGAGAATGCTCATTAATACCACAGATTTAGAGAGAAACAAATAGAATGAGTAGGCAGATGGTAAAAATTCACAGAAACCTCTTTAAGTGAAAGTCCCTATGTAACAGCACCAGAATCTCAGCAAAATTAGGAAAAACTGCCAGGCCTTGCCATTTTCCAAGGTTTCATGCTGACTTGGGGAGAGATATTTACAAAACTAGAAGATATTCCTGAGTAGGTTTACGGAACCCTGGAATGGGGTATATTTAACCAAATCCCAAAAAAGAAAGCAAAGCCCTGGTCCTCCAGCAGAGGCTGAACACAGTACCCGCTGAGCTCACCTCCTACTCCCCAAATCTTCAGGCTACAGAAAAGTAGCCAGAACAATCCCTAACCTCAGACATAGCTCAGAAAATAAGCAGGTTACAGGTAAAGGAGGAGGACTGTGATGGAGATTTACCTTCATAGCATTTGAGTAAATAAGTTTGTGCTGAACTGCCCACTTAAGTATGAACAAGGTGAAAAGATATGGCAAGAAAACTATGCAAAGGTTTTATAGCAAAAAAAAAAGAAAGGAAGGAAACAATGCAAAAGACAACCTACTTGGAAGAAAATGTAACTCAAGAGTCACAGCTTTAAATGGAAAAGAACTTGATAAGAACATAAAGTGTTTTTGCCATGTCCGTTACATACCTCTCTGCAGTAATACTGGTCTGTTTGAGTGTGGGATTCGGATTCCTGAACCCTGCAGTAGTTATTTGATTTTGGGCAGATCACTTTCATTCTCACAGTCTTGGATTTGTTTGTCAATTTTGAATAAACAGCTGTATTCTATGTTTGAAGAATAGAAAGATAACAAAGTTACTAATATAATTACTCATTGCCAGAAATCTCTCTTTTAAGTGCTAGATTTTTTATTTCAGTTATTCTTTTGGCCTTGATGAAGTTTATTGTCCCAAAAAAACCATTGCCATTGAGTCATTTCTGACTCATAGTGACCCTATAGGACAGAGTAGAACTGGGTTTCCAAGGAGCAGCTGGGGGTGTGTGTGTGGGGTGGGGGAGTATGGGTGTGTGTGTGTGTGTGTGTGTGTGTGTTGGCCACATCATCTTTCTGATATAGTTCTCTTAAATGGGGTTTATTGAGGCATAATTTATATACAATAGGAGTCATCCTGTTCAGCATACAATTGTATGAGATTTGACAAATGCATACAATTGTGTAACAGCTACCACAATTGAGACATAGAACAGTTCTATCACCCAGAAAAGTTTGTTTCCCTTAGTACTCAGTCCCTCCCCCAGCCTCTGGCAACTACTGATATGTTTTCTGTCTATATTTTTGCCTTTTCTAGAATATCATATAAATAGAAGCATGACATAGAGGACATTAACTTTTCTAATGTTGAAGTTCCAAAACAATATGCTAAATGACTTCATTTAAAGGCTGTAGACTTGGTTGTAGGGCTTAAGTCACACATTTTATCATTTACACATCTGAGTTTACAATGCAGAGTAGAACTGTGTCCACTAAAAATAAAACTAATTCTTAAAAAGAAGAAATTTAGGGGTAAAAAGAAAAGAAATGTTGGTAGTCTGGGTTTTTTTCTGGTAATTAGGTTACTCTTCTATTTTGTAGGTCTTGTATGCGTAATCCTATGGAAAACATTACAAAAATGGTGAAAGGAATAGGAGAGTCTTTTTGCCAACACTATACTCAATCAACGGATGACCAGCCAGGATCTCACATAGGTAAGAAGAGAAATAAAAAGTTGACACACAGCATTGAAAGTAGATTGTCACCTCCAAATAGTAGAAATTATAATCAGGTTTTTTCCTTACATGTTATTCTTATTGAATCAGATTTAATGTTATTACCAGTTTGTTCTTCAGTCCTTAACAACTAAATTTCGTTGGTAATGTTTTCCCTTTATTTCCTCTACAGACTTTGCTGTAAACAGACTAAAACTGGCAGAAATTTTGTATTACAAAATGTTAGAGACTGTAATGGTTCAGGAAACACGAAGACTTCATGGAATGGACATGTCAGTAAGTAAATCTACTCTCCCAGACACTGGCAAGGTGTGAAAGTCCTAAGCCTAGAAGCAGTGTTTTGTGAGGCTCTACAGTGCATTGTGGGGGTCAGCAGTCTATGGCAGACATGACAAAGATGACATATTAGTTGACCTTAGTTGTCTTTGGCATATCCCAGAGCCAACCATTTCTAGGCAGAAATGTGAAATATGTAAAACTCATCTTTGGTACGTTATTACTGGCCTTTCCCTTCAGGTTCGTTTTTAGTCCTTCATTTCCAGGTAGCTAATAATGAGTGCCCCCAACTATTCAGCCAACTGATAATTAAGGTATTCACTCATACCTCCTAGGAGTTTTAGATTATAAAATGACAGTAGGTTTTTTAAAAAATCACTTCGTTTTCTTTGAATATCTGACCAAGTCTGACCAATAGGTATACTCTCCAATAGCTACATAAAATAATTTTTGTACGGAGTTAAACCTGTCCTATAATCTGTCAGTTTCCTCCCTCTCCCCAGCCACTCTGAATCTTCTGACTTTCTATTCCAGTAAGAAACAGGTTGATGTTTAGGGCTGCTGCATAACTATCGTAATGGAATTTGTTTGTTTTCAACCTGGAGATTTTCTTCATCTCTCTTCTAGTTGGTTCCCCTTTTTCTTGGTTCCCATGTCTTACTCTTTCATGGTTTAACCTAACACTGTGATGGAGCATATGCTGCCATAGGTTCCTGAGAAGGAGGGTGGGGGTGTTAAATTTTTTAAACTTTTTGTTTTGAAATAATTATAGATTATAGATTCACAGAAAGTTGCAAAAAATAGTACAGAGAGGTCCTGTGTACCGCTTACCCACTTCCTTCCAATGGTTACATTTTACATAGTACAATATCAAAGCCAGGAAATTGACATTGGAACAATGTTTGTGTGTACCTCTATTCTGTTGTATCACATGTGCAAATGAGCATAACCACCACCAAAATCAAGATACAGAACTATTCTCTCTTTGAGACTATCACCCTGAGATACTCCATAAACCTTGAACCAAAACTACACCTGTAGGTCACCTTTTAGCTAAATAACAGGTTGGCTCATAAAATAAAGAATATTACCAGTGAGTACTATGCATGTTAAGAAAATCATCTGTATGAGACCAAATGGTCAACAGTTACTCTAAAGCAAAGATGAAAGGATAAGAGGACAGGGAAACCAGATTACTGGAAGCAAAACATCCAGAAGGAAATTCTCATGAGAATGTTAACACATTGTGAAAAATGTAACCAATGTCGCTGAACAATTTGTGTAGTTATTGTTAAATGGGAACCTAATTTCCTGACAAAATCAAATATTATTTAAAAAAAAAAAAAAAATATGCACGACTGTTCTGTCAACACAAAGATTTCCCTCCTGCTGCCCGTTTATAGTTACGCTCCCCTTGGCCACTAATGTTTTTTCTGTCTCTGTAATTTTATAAGACACCCTATATGGTTTTAATTCTTTTAAATTTGTTGACATTTGTTTTATAGCCCAGCATATGGTTTATCTTGGTAAATGTCCTGTGGGCACTTAAAAATAATGTATATTCTACTGTTATTGATTGGGTGGCATGTTCTATAAATGTCAGTTAGGTCCTGTTGGTTGATGGTGGTATTGAGTTTTTCTAAATCCTTGCTGATTCTTTGTCTAGTTGTTTAATCAATTAAGAGAAGAGTATTGAAGTCTCCAGATATAATGGTGGATTTGTCTGTTTGGCCTTTCAGTTCTCTCTGGGTTTTTTTGTTTTGTTTTGTTTTTTCTTTTCCCACATATTTTATAGCTCTGCTGTTTGGTACATACACATTTAGGATTGTTATGTCTTTTTGGTGAATTGACATGTCTTCTTGGTGAATTGACTCCTACCCTCCCCCATTTTTTTTGTACAACCACCGCCACTATTTATTTCTAAAACTTTTTCATTACCCCAAACAGATATCCTAAACCCATTAAGCAATAACTCCCTATCCCTCCTCCCCAAAGCCCTTGGTAACCACTAATCTCCTTTCTGTCTCTATGCATTTGCCTATTCTAGATATTTCATATAAGTGCAATCATACAATATTTGCTGTTTTGTTTCTGGCTTATTTCACTTAGCATAATATTTTCAGGATTCATCCATGTTGTAGTGTATATCAGAACTTCATTTCTCTTTATGGCTGAATGATATTCCATTGTTGGATTGACTCTTTTATCATTATGTAATGTCACTCTCTGTCCCTGGTAATTTTTTTTCTGAAGTCTACTTTATCTGATGGTACTACAGCCACTCCTGCATTCTTTTGATTAATGTTTGCCTGGTATACCTTTTTCCATTCTTTTACTTTAAAGTTACCAATGTCATTGTCTTCACAGTAATCTCATTAGCTAACAAAACTCCTATTTCCAAAGAGGGTCATATTTGCAGGTACAGAGGTTAGGACTTCAACATAAAGTTTTAGGGACACAGTTTAATCTGTAACACCTTCCATTCTAGTGTTTTGATTAATAAACTCTTAAACACTGACAAACAATTGACTGTCATTAAAAAAGAACCAGTCATAATGCTTTTCTCTTGATGGAAATATTGACTATTATTTGTTCACATTTCAAAGCATTTTGTTGTGTACACATCATTTAAACTTAAGATCTACCACTGAGCAAGATCAGATGTTATACAAAAAACTCTTTACTAGTTTGAGAACTTTAATTTTTATCTTTGGTGATTTAGTACAGCATAATTCACAGAAGTTATTTTATCTTGTTTCTGTAGTCTTCTTCATAGAATGACAAAAACTAAAATTGCTGGGAAATAGTAAACTGTAGTCTTTTTCTTCCCTAAGGTTCTTTTAGAACAGGATATATTTCATCGTTCCTTGATGGCCTGTTGTTTGGAAATTGTGCTCTTTGCTTATAGCTCACCTCGTACTTTTCCCTGGATCATTGAAGTTCTCAATTTGCAACCGTTTTATTTTTATAAGGTGAGATGAAAACAAAGTTCTGTTATGATGTACCTCACATAAACATTGTATTCATCATAGTGCTGAAGAAACAACCTGTTGTGATATGTGGAAAATATTTCCAGAAGTGTCATGAAAATATATATTCCTTTTGGGTAGAATCAAGGACAAAATGGAGAGGATGAGAGTATCAACAATTTAAGCCAATCTCACAACTTCAGTTTTTCCATCACTGACTTGCAAATGTAACCTGGAACTAAGTGCTTAACTTGAAATTTTCCATATTTATAAATGAAAATTGTAACTATTAAATAGATGCATGTTGAAGAACAAAAATGTCATAGGAAAAAAGAAAAGGTTTAAATTTGATTTTGGTTAAGTCTTAACTAATGATGTTTTAATAACTGATTGTGCTCCTTCCCCAAATTTGAGCTAATTCAAGGTGGCTGAATCTTGCTTACCTCCCCTTTTTTTCTGCTAGTACTATTTATTAACCTTTTATAAAACATAGAGGTCACAGCTACTGAGCTACATCATCACATTTAACATTTAATATTACCTAGTGTCCAGCGTGTCCCTGGGTGGCACAAATAGTTTAAGCTCTCGACTACTAACTGAAAAGTTGGTGGTTCGAACCCACCCAGGGGCGCCTTGGAAGAAAGCCATGGTATTCTGCTTGCGAAAAGTCACAGCCTTGAAAACCCTGTGGAGTGCAGTTCTACTGTGCGCGCATCGGGTCGCCATGAATCAGAATCTACTTGAATGCAACTAGTAGTGCCCAGATTTAAGACTAATGCTACTGTTATGTTTATTGGCATAATTTAGTTATCTGCGCTACTTTAAAACTATTGATGATAGGAAAATTAGTTTGAAAAGTTAAATTTTTATACCTAAAGCATGCCTGAGTTAAAGGTGTAGAAAAAGCTTATCCATTTGAGTTGCTTACTGAGTGTAGTTAAAACATTTTTTAGATTCTTAGGGAAAATCTACTATATATATTTTCTTTAATGTTGATATGTGTGTTCAGATTTTGCATTTAGGAAAAGTTATAACTGTATTCAAGGAATAATTACCAGAGGAGGTTTAGTTTTTGCCTACAAACTAATAGTAATTTATTTTTATTTATGAAATTCCTGTTTCATTCAAGAAGCTAAATGCCTTTTTTTAACTGCATAAATAATACATGCTCACTGAAGAAAAACAGAAAATGCAGATAAATGTAAATATTAAAATGACCTGTAATTCTATCACCCTCCCCCCAAAAAACACTATAAATATTTTTGTGTGTATACTTCCAGACTTTGTTCTAGATATTTTCCCTTACTAAAATGGAATTATACTTTATATAAGCAAAGTTCTTTTTAAATACTTTGTTCATTCCATTCTTTTGAGATATTGGGAAGAATAGCCTGAAAAGGGGCAGTAAATTCAAAATAGCACTGAACTGGGAACTCAAGATGCAACTTCTACCACTGTTGGGCTGTTGACCAGTTTGTACGCATTCCTGACTCAATTTTTCATGTATAAAATAAAACATGAAAAACAGAGGCATAAATTAAAAGATATTAATAAGCCACAGAATTACGGTTCAAAGGTGTCATTTGTGTTCTGTGTCACATAGTAAAGCCAGAACCAGTCATATGTGGAAGCCCAGTCTAAAACTGACTGCTTGAAACCACATTGCTTTCTCAATTTTCCCCTCTCCAGGTTATTGAGGTAGTGATTCGCTCAGAGGAGGGGCTCTCGAGGGACATGGTGAAACACCTGAACAGCATTGAAGAACAGATTTTGGAGAGTTTAGCATGGAGTCATGATTCTGCACTATGGGAGGCTCTCCAGGCAAACAAAGTTCCTACCTGTGAAGAAGTGAGTCAGGGCAAGGCTGGTAATCCCATCATTTTCTTTTCTTTTTTCTTTTTTTGGAGATGATAGCTGATTTGTTTTTAATTTGTATTTTTGTGATTATTCAGCATAAACTAATGTTTATTGGCTATTCTGGTGTCTTCTTATGTGAAGATTCTTTCGTGTCTTTGCCTGTTTTCTCATCGATTTGTAGGAGTTCTTCAAATATTCTGGAAAACAAGCCTTCCATAGTTATGAGCATTGCAAGCGTTGTCTCCCAGTTTGACAGTTCCCCACATGGGCTTTTAAAATCAGATCGGGCACATTTTGCATCTTTCCCTCCTGGGGGGATAATTTGCAGAATGATATTTTCAAAGAGTTCCCAATTCTGGCGTTTGTTTCCTAGTCCTTAGGAAACATGCCTTTAAGAACGTGCCCATGGAATAGGTCTGTCTTAGTCATCTAGCGCTGCTCTAATAGAAATACCATGAGTTTTAACCAAGATAAATTTATTTTCTTACAGTCCGGTAGGCTATAAGTCCAAATTCAGGGCATCAGCTCCCAGGGAAGGCTTCAAGTCCAAATTCAGGGCATCAGCTCCAGGGGAAGGCTTTCTCTGTTACCTCTGGAGAAAGGTCCGTGTCTTCAATCTTTCTTTGTTCTGGGAGCTTCTCTGCGCAGGAATCTCAGGTCCAAAGGATATACGCTCTGCTCCCAGTGCTTCTTTCTAGGTGGTATGAGGTCCCCAGTTCTCTGCTTGCTTCCCTTTTATCTCTTGTAAGGTAAAAGGTGGTGCAGGCCACACCCTAGGGAAACTCCCCTTTACATTGGATCAGGGATGTGCCCTGGCTAGGGGTGGTGTTAGAATCCCACCCTAATCCTCTTTAACATAAAATTACAATTACAAAATGGAGGCCAACCACACAATTCTGGGAATAATGGCCCAGCCAAATTGATGCACACATTTTTGGGGGGACATAATTCAAACCATGACATTCCACCCTTTGGCCTCCAAAAAATCACATCCTTGCAACATGGAAAACATATTCACCCCATCATGTCATAGCAAAAGTCTTAACTCCAAGTCCAAAATCAAAAATTCCTCTTCATCTGTGAAATCTAGAATACAAATAATCTGCTTCCAAAGGTACAATGGCAGAACGGGCACTAGACATTTCCATTACAAATGGGAGAAACTGGAGGGAAAGAAGGAGTAACAGGCACCAAGCAAGTCAGCAGAACATATTACATTAGCCCTCAAGGCTTTGAAAATAAACCTCTGTTCTCTGAGACAATTTATACAATGGCCCTGCCCTCCAGACTCTAGGTATTGGCCACAGTCTCCAGAATCTGAGTGGAGGCCACTTGGCCTTGGGCTTCAGCTCCGCCTTCCAGGCCCACTGGGATGACTGCTCTTCTCCCTCGCTTTAGGTGCACCATTCTGCTAGGCTATTGGGGTGACAGCTCCACCCTTAGAAACACCAGAGGCCATGGCTCCACCCTTTGAAACCCCTGAGGTCATGGCCATACCTTCTGAGACTGAGGCAGCTTGGCTTCTTATCTGCCTTGTCTCTTCAGCTTCTGCTTCCTGTGGCCTCTTGGCCCTTGGGCCTCACATCAGCATCTGCCCTGCCGGGGCAAAAGTTCCAAAGCTCGGTAGCTCCACCAGTAAGTGCCTGGAAGCACCCTACTCCACCAGAAAGCCTCGTATGCACAGGCACTCAGCTCTCTTGCTCCGTGGGTCGGCAAGCCTAGCTCCACCGATACGTACCCGGAGGCACCCCACTCCGCCAGGAAGCCTAGTGTGTACAGGCACTCAGCTCTCTTGCTCCATGGGTTGGCTCCAGTGCCATCTCGCACTGATTTCCTGGTTCTGCTGCTGTTGGTTCTCTGCCACTGCTGCTTCTATGCCACTGCCACTTCTCTGCTCTTGTAGGTTCTCTCCTGCTCCTGGTCCTTTGCTGCTGCCACTGCTCTATCCATTCACAGTTTCAAAACTGCTTCCACATTTTAGGTATCTGTTAGAGCAGCACCCCACTCTCTGGGCACCAAATTCTGTCTTAGTCATCTAGCGCTGCTCTAACAGAAATACCACGAGTTTTAACCAAGAGAAATTTATTTTCTCACAGTCCAGTAGGCCACAAGTCCAAATTCAGGGCATCAGCTCCAGGGGAAGGCTTTCTCTGTTGGCTCCGGAGGAAGGTCCGTGTCATCAATCTTCTCTTGTTCTGGGAGCTTCTCTGCACAGGAAACTCAGGTCCAAAGGACGCGCTCTGCTCCCGGTGCTTCTTTCTTGGTGGTATGAGGTCCCCCTCATTTTCTGTTTTTTAATAATAACTTTATTGAGGTATAATTCACAGACCATACAATTCACCCATTTAAAGTATACAATTCAGTGGTTTTTAGTGTATTCACAGAGTTGCAAAACCATCACCACCATCAATTTTTGATAACATCTTTATTGAGATAAATTCACATACCATAATTTCATCCATTTATAGTATACAGGTGAGTGGTTTTTAGTGTATTCACAGTTTTTCAGCTATTACCACAGTCAATTTTAGAACATTTTCATCACCCCAAAAAGAAACTCCATATTCGCTAGCAGTCCACTCCTCATTTCTCCTCCATCCCCTAAGCCCTAGGCAACCACCAATCTATTTTTTGCCTGTAGACTTGCCTATTCTAAATGTTTCATGTAAATGGAATCATATAATATATGGTCCTCATGACTGGCTTCTTTCACTTATAACCTAATGCTTTTAAGGTTCATCCATGTTGTAGGATGTATCGGTATTTTATTTCTTTTTATTTTGAATAATATTCTATTGTATGGATATATCACATTTTATTTGTCCATTCATCAATTTATGGACATTTGAGTTGTTTCCATCTTTTGACTATTATGAATAATGCTGCTATGAGCATTCACGTTCAAGTTTTTGTGTGGACATACGTTTTCATTTTTCTTGGGTATATACCTAGGATTGGAATTGTTGGATTATATGATAACTCTCTTTAGCCTTTAGAGAAACTGTGAGTCTGTTTTCCAAAGTGCTGCACTGTTTTACATTCTCACCAGCAAAGTATAAGGGTTCCAGTTTCTTCACATCTTTGCCCCAACACTTGTTATCTTTCTTTTTTCTTATAGCCATCCTAATGGGTATGAAGTAGTATCTCATTGTGATTTTGATTTGCATTTCCCTAATGGTTAATGATGTTGAACATCTTTTCATGTGTTTACTGGCCATTGGTGTATAGTTTATTCATATTCTTTGGCCATTTTTTAATTGCATTATTTATCTTTTTATTATTGAGTTGTAGTGGTTCTTTATATATTCTAGATACAATCCTTTATCAGATACACGATTTACAAAAATTTTCTTCCATTCTGTGTGTTTTCATTTTACTTTCTTGATGGTGTCTTTTGGAGAACAAATGTTTTTAACTTTGATGATGTCTAATTTACCTATTTTTTTCTTTTGTTGCTTTTGCTTTTGGTGTGAGAGCTAAGAAACCTTTAATTCTATCATTTAAAAAAATTTATTGTGGTGAAATATATATAACAAAAAGTTTGCCATTTTAACCATTTTTAAATGTACATATTCACCATGTTGTGATACCATAACAATCAACCACTATCTATTTCCAAGTTTTATACACCCCAAACAGAAACTCAGTACCCTTTCAGCAATAATTCCCATTCTGTCCTCCTCCCAGCTGCTGGTAACCACTAATAAACTTTTGTGTCTATGCATTTGCCTATTCTAGATATTTCCTATAAGTAGGATCATACAATATTTGTCCTTTTGTGTCTGACTTCTTTTACTCAGCATAATGTTTTCAAGGTTTATCTGTGTTGTATCATGTATCAGAATTTAATTTCTCTTCATGACTGAATAATACACCATAGTATGTATATACCACATTTTGTTTATCCAGTCATCTGGTAATGAACACTCAGGTTGTTTCTACCTTTTGACTCTTGTGAATAATGCTGCAGTGAACATTGGTGTACACGTATCTGTCTGAGTCCCTGCTTTCAAGTCTCTTGGGTAGATACCTAGGAGTGGAATTGCTGGATCATGTGGTGATTCAATGTTTAACTTTTTGAGGCACTGCCAAACTGTTTACCATAGCAGCAGTGCCATTTTACATTCCCACCAGCAACACACAAGGGCTCCAGTTTCTCCACATCCTTGCCAACGCTTGTTAGTTTCCGTTTTTCTGATAATAACTATCCTAGTGGGTGTGAAAGGTGCCCTGCTGGCACAGTGGTTAAGCACTTGGCTGCTAACTGAAAGGCAGCAGTTCAAACCCACCAGCTGCTCCGCTGGAGAAAGATGTTGCAGTCTGCTTCCATAAAAGATTTCCAGCCTTAGAAGCCCTATGGGGCAGTTCTACTCTGTCCTTAGGGTCACTATGAGTTGGAATCGACTCAGTGGCGGTGGGTTTGATTTTGGAGTGGGTGTGAAGTGATAGCTCATTGTGGTTTTGATTTGCATTTTCCTAATCACTAATGACCTTGAGCATCTTTTCGTGTGCTTGTTGGCCATTTGTATATCTTCTTTGGAGAAATGTCTATTCAAGTCCTTTGCCCAGTTTTTAATTTGGTTATTTGTCTTTTTGTTGTTGAGTGATAGGCATTCTTTATATATTCTGGCTATTAAATCATTATCAAATATATGATTTCCAAATAATTTTTCCCATTCTGTAGGTTGTCTCTTAATTTTGTGAATAATGTCCTTTGATGTACAAAAATTTTTCATTGTGATAAAGTTCAATTTCTTTTTTTGCTGTTGCTGTTGGTGTCGTATCCATTGTCAAAAACAAGGTCCTCTGTTTTGTTCTAAGAGTTTTATGGTTTAAGTTATTATATTTAGGTAACTGATCCATTTTGAGTTAATTTTCATATATGGTATGAGGTATTGATCCAACATTCTTTTGCATGTGGAGATCTAGACCTATCATTTTTAATTTTTCAAATGTCTATGTAAAGAGTTAAACCCTTTTCATTGGTGATATATGGAATTTTTTAAAAATAAAAAGTCTGTGCCTTTACACACACATCACACATTTAACAGTTTAGTATCATGTTAGAAATTGAGTTTTTTTCCTCCACCTCTGTGCTGTTCTTTCAGAGCTCCGATTTGCTTTTCTGTATCTCCTTATAGTTCATAAATCTTCTTGAATTTTTTCCTAATCTCAAACTACTGGAGGAACTGCCCAAGACTAGGAAGAATTAAAAAGAAGATGATTTCTTGAAATCTGTCTTCCATGCTTCTTTTGCAACAGACTGATTGAGCAATCTTCAGTATTCATCAATATTTCCACTCTAGAATCCATTAGGAAAGTGGAAACAACTGTGAACTTGGGGTAAAAGAATTTGGGTTCAAGCACTGGATCTATTACTTAGCAGTAGTCACTTTGAGCAACTTTCATATTTTGAACCTCAACTTTCTCATCCATAGATGGAGGATGATAGTGCCTATCTCATAGGTTTACTTCTAGTGTTTAGTAAACTTAAATAGATAAATTAAAAGATTAAGTGAAGTGAATTCTTTCCATATATGGAAAAGTAATAATGATTGAGCACTTTATAGAAATTGTTATATTTTGCAAAGAATGAAAAAGGAAAGGGAAATAGAAAATACATTTAAAACTTTTTCCCCCACTCTTCCCATTATAAGTTTTAATTGGTGGGTTTATTTGTATATAAAGCAAAGGATTTTTATTTTCTACAGGTTATATTCCCAAATAACTTTGAAACAGGAAATGGGGGGAGTATACAGGGACATCTTCCCATGATGCCAACGTCTCCTATAATGCATCCACGCGTCAAAGAAGTTCGGACTGACAGTGGGAGTCTTCGAAGGGGTACGTTCAACAGTCTTAGATTGTAAAATATTCATTAAAGATCTTTTTTTTTTTTCCAGAGAAAATTTCAAGTTTTGCTAATATATTATTAAGAAATTTAAGTTCTTCATCAGGATTTTAAAAGGGGCTTTATGCTTGTACCAGCACCCTAAACGAATTGAGTATTTGCATGGCTCAATGTATGCCTTTTTATATTAAAGTAATAGAATTTTCAGTCTGATTTTGATATTGTGGAAATAGTATTTTGGCCTTTTAATAAATACATACAACCTTTCCTAAATGCTAATGGAAGACTTTAAATAAGCTACATATCTACTTTGCCATATTTGACAGAAGTTATTTTCTTTCTTTGTCTATGTACATCTGTATAGAAAGATAAATATTTAAAGCTGACAACTTTTATTCTCTTTGAGGTGCTTAAATTCACCTAAAAAATGACTTATCTATGCTCTCTTAAAATAGTTCATTTTGAGCCTTACTAGTAGGAAAATGTTAGTGCATTCTTCCTTATTTCATCTGAAGTGGCAAACCGATGTGTGCATCTTCTTAAATTTTTTTATATTACTGAAGAAAATCTACGGACCACAGTGTCCCTGAACAAACCTCAGACAAACAAGTATTCAGGTTATTTATTGAGGTAGCTCTAGGTCCATTTTCAGACTATGATTATGTGTGTGTATACCCATACACGCATGAGTACACATACACAGTCCTTACTTTGTGTGCAGTGTGGGACCATAAAAATGACTGTACAAACTGAAACCATGCAAAGCAATCTTAATAATCTATGGTAATAATTATGATTGTTCTGATTCTTCTTTAACAATTTTGTTAAAACATTAAAAACTCTCCTACTGTCAGTTGTTAATGTTTAGAAAAATGAAAAAATAGGAAAGCTAATATTGACATTAAAATTACAAACATTATAAACATTGAATTAAGGGGTTTATTTCTTTTTTTTTATTGTGCTTTAAGTGAAAGTTTATAATTCAAGTTAGTCCATCTTAAAAAATCTATACATACACTGTTAATGTGACCTTAGGCGCTCTCCCTATACTGTGACAGCATACTCCTCCTTTCCACCCCAGATTTCCCGTGTCCATTCAACCAGCTCCTGACCTTCTCTGCCTTGTCATCTCGTCTCCGGACAGGAGCTGCCCATTTAGTCTCATGTATCTACTTGCGCTAAGAAGCACACTCTTCACAAGTATCATTTTATGTCCCTCAGTCCGGTCCAATCTTTGAAAAGTTGGCCTTGGAATTGTTTTAGTTCTGGGCTGATAGAGAATCCAGGGGCTATGCTTTCTGGGGTTCCTCCAGTCTCAATCAGGCCATTAAGTCTGATTTTTTACTAGAATTTCAGTTCTGCACCCCACCTTTCTCCTGCTCCGTCAGGGACTTTCTGTTGTGTTCCCTGTCAGGACAGTCATTGGTGATAGCTGGGCACCATCTAGTTCTTCTGGTCTCAGACTGATGAAGTCTCTGGTTTATGTGACCCTTTCTGTCTCTTGGGCTAATAGTTTCCTTGTGTCTTTGGTGTTGTTCATTCTCTGTTACTCCAGGTGGGTTGGGACCAATTGATGCATCTTAGATGGCCACTTGCAAGCTTTTAAGACTGCAGACACCACTCAGCGAAGTGGGATGCAGAACATTTTCTTAATTAGCTTTGTTATGCCGATTGACCTAGATGTCCCCTGAAAACATGGTCCTGAGACCCCCACTCCTGCTACTCTGTCGCTTGAAATGTTTGATTGTATTCAGGAAACTTCTTAGCTTTTGGTTTAGTCCAGTTATGCTGACTTCTCCTGTAGTGTGTGCTGTCCTTCCCTTCACCTAGGAATTCTTGTCTACTGTCTAGTTAGTGAATAACCCTCACCCTCCCTCCTTACCCTCGCAACCATCAAAGAGTGTTTTCTTCTGTGTTTAAACCTTTTCTTGAGTTCTTAAAATATTGGTCTTAGACAATATTTGCCCTTCTGTGACTGACTAAATTCACTTAGCATAATGCCCTCTAGATTCCTTCGTGTTATAAGATGTTTCACGGCTTCATCATTGTTCTTTATCGTTGCGTAGTATTCCGTTGTGTGGATGTACCATAATTTGCTGTCGCAGCGGCGGCGAATGTCAGGACGGCGGAGACAGTAACCAAACACAACTCTTACAGAGAAGTGGGGCCAGGAGGGTCACTCTGAGGAGTCGACCCTTGGCTTCAGTCTCAGGAGTTTATTTATAGTCAATACAGCAAGCAGTGAAGCAAATAACAGAACAATGGGCTTTGGGTGAGTAACAATAAGTTTCGGGCAAGGGAGAAGGAATTCAGGTAAACAAGCCAATCAGTAACGGGTCAATAGGTTTGGGAAAACAGGTTGTGACAAGTCTCAACATGTTGGGGACAAATCTCAACATGCTGTGCAGCATAGAGGCCTGTGGGAGCTGCAGTTGTCAGTAGTGCAGCCATGTTTAAATGGCATATATCCCCACAATTTGTTTATCCATTCATCTGTTGATGGGCACCTAGGTTGCTTCCATCTTTTTGCTATTGTGAACAATGCTGCAGTAAACATGGGTGTGCATGTATCTATTCGTGTGACGGCTCTTATTTCTCTAGGATATGTTCCATGGGACAGGATTGCTGGATCCTATAGTACTTCTATTTCAGCTTTGTAAGGAAGTGCCTAATCAATTTCCATAATGGTTATACCATTTTACATTCCCACCAACAGTGTGTAAGTGTTCCAGTCTCTCCACAGCCTCTGCAGCATTTATTATTTTGTGTTTTTTGGATTAATGCTAGCCTTGTTGGGATGACCTGATAATCTCATTGTAGTTTTGATCACCGTTTCTCTAATGGGTGATGATTGTGAGCATTTCCTCATGTGTCTGTTAGCCGCCTGAACATCTTCTTTGGTAAAGTGCCAGTTCATATCCTTTGCCCATGTTTTAATTGGGTTATTTGTTGTTTTGTCATTGAGGTTTTACAGTATCTTGTAGATTTTAGAGATTAGATGGTGATCAGATTTGTGGTAGCCAAAAATTTTTCCCCAGTCTGTGGGTTGTCTTTTGACTCTTTTAGTGAAGTCTTTTGATGAGCATAAGTGTTTGATTTTTAGGAGCTCCCACTAATCCAGTCTTTCTTCTGGTGCTTGTGCATTGTTACTTATGGTTCGTATTGTGTTTATGTCATGTATTAGGGCTCCTAGTGTTGTCCCTATTTTTTCTTCCATGATCTTTATCGTTTTTGATTTTATATTTAGGTCTTTGATACATTTTGAGTTAGTTTTTCTGCATGGTGTGAGGTATGGGTCTTCTTTCAGATTTTTGCAGATGGATATCCAGTTATGCCAGCACCATTTGTTAAAGACTCTGTCTTTTCCCCAATTAATGGACTTTGGGCCTTTGTCAAATATCAGCTGCTCACAGGTGGATGAATTTGTCTGGATTCTCAATTCTGTTCCATTGGTCTATGTATCTGTTGTTGTACCAGTACCAAGCTGTTTTGACTACCATGGGAGTATAATAGGTTCTAAAATCAGGTAGTGTGAGGCCTCCCACTTTGTTCTTCTTCTTGAATAACGTTTTACTTTTTTGGGGCCTCTTCCCTTTGCATATGAGGCTGGTGGTTTATTTCTCCATCTCATTAAAAACTGCCGGTGGAATTTGGATCGGGATTGCATTATATCTGTAGATCGCTTTGGGTAGAATTGACATTTTCACAATGTTGAGTCTTCCTATCCATGAGCAAGGTATGTTTTTCCACTTATGCAGGTCTCTTTTAGTTTCTTGCAGTAGTGTCTTGTAGTTTTCATCGTATAGGTCTTTTACGTCTCTGGTTAGATATATTCCTAAAGTATTTGATCTTCTTGGGGGCTGTTGTGAATGGTATTGATTTGGTGATTTCCTTTTCAGAGTTCTCTTTTTTGGTACAAAGGAATGCAACTGATTTTTGTATGTTTATCTTGTATTCTGATACTTTGCTGAAAGCTTCTGTTAGTTCCAGTAGTTTTCTTGTGGATTCTTTGGGGTTTTCTGTGTATAAGATCATATCTGCAAATAGAGATACTTTTACTTCTTCCTTATCAATTCGGATGCCCTTTATTTCCTTTTCTAGCCTAGTTGCTCTGGCTGGGACCTCTAGCACAGTGTTGAATAAGAGTGGTGATAAAGGGCATCCTTGTCTGGTTCCCATTCTCAAGGGGAATGCTTTCAGACTCTCTCCATTTAGGATGATGTTGGCTGTTGGCTTAGTATAAATGCCCTTAATTTTGTGGAGGAGTTTCCCTTCTATACCTATTTTGCTGAGAGTTTTTATCATGTATGGCTGTTGGACTTTGGCAAATGCCTTTTCTGCATCAATTGATAAGATCATGTGCTTCTCTTTTGTTTTGTTTATGGAATGGATTACATTGATTGTTTTTGTAATGTTGAACCATCCCTGCATACCTGGTATAAATCCCACTTGATCATGGTGAATTATTTTTTTAATATCTTGTTGAATTTTGTTGGCTAGAATTTTGTTGAGGGTTGTTGTGTGAATGTTCATGAGGGATATTGGTCTGTAATTTTCTTTTTTTGTGGTGTCATTACCTGGTTTTGGTATCAGGGTTTTGCTGACTTCATAGAATGAGTGTGGGAGTATTCCATCCTTTTCTATGCTCTGAAATACCTTTAGTAGTAGTGGTGTTAAGTGTCTTCTCTGAACGTTTGGTAGAATTCTTCAGTGAAGCCATCCGGGCCAGGGCTTTTTTTTGTTGAGAGTCTTTTAATTACCTTTTCAATCTCTTCTTTTGTTATAGGTTTATTTAGTTGTTCTACCTCTGTTTGTGTTAGTTTAGGTAGGTAGTGAGCTTCTAGAAATTTGTCCATTTCCTCTAGGTTTTCAAATGTGTTAGATTACAGTTTTTCATAGTATTCTGTTGTGATTCTTTTAATTTCAGTTGGATCTGTTGTGAGACCACCCATGTCATTTCTTATATGGGTTATTTGCTTCCTCTCTTGTTTTT